AAACAGACGCCTGGCCCTCCCAGTTTCTTTGACCTGAGACTCCACTTACCCACTCCAAATGTTATTGCCCAAGTTACTCCCAAGCAGTTACTCAAAGGCTGAGTCAAAAGGCATGTGGTTTCTGCTCACCCATGGTGCTATTATCAGTCACACCCATCTCACATGTGGCTGAAGCACTTTTTGCATAAGCACACCTGGCTACAACGAAGAGGATGGAAAAACTACACTTTGCTCTGCAGGCACCTCTTTTATCTGCTTGCCACACCGTTGGTGGACATGGTGCTCCAGATGCATCATGGGGGATGCTGAGGGTTTTATGACAGCCCATTGCTGAGATGCTTTTCCTAAGTGCCTGAGATTTTCAGGGCTGGGTTACATCTGAGTAGTGGAGGAGAACATTTTTATACAGACTCAATCCAAAAAACAAAGCTGTTGAGCCCGGAGTTCGAATCTCCACTGAGCCTCCTTAGCAGAAGCTTAGACTCAATGATCTATAGGATCCCTTCTAGCTCTGCAATTTTAAGATCTTCCTCTTCAAAAAAAACCAGGCACAGCCAATCAAAATTATAAAAACATTGACTGGTATTATTTAACAGATACTAGTTTTATTCTCTTATTTTCACTGCCTTAAGTAATTTTTTCTCTGCTTGTACTGATATAATCATTTAGGCTTCAACACAAAGTTGTCTGTCTTTATGTCACATGGTGTGATCGCTGCAAGCACATGAATTCTGTCAAGGGCCTAAACGTTGAAGGACTGTTGCTTTAGTTAAGAGCCTGAAGCCCTGGATGGGTTACAGGTCTCTTCCTTAGCAATCAGCCCATCCTGCTGTGCTTGCTGTGTGACCATACACTTTATTTTTCAAAGGGAAAGAAAACCAGAGACATTCTATGCAATATAAGGATCTTGTTTGTAGGCGGGGAAGAACTCTTGGCCGCCGCCTCAACTAGAGGTGGGACTACTTCAGAATATTTTGTTTGAGATATCTCGTCATGTCAAGACAGCCTCAACTGATGAGAGATCTGGTCAAATCTGCTGATGCCTGAAAGCTTGTAGGTATTACCACCCAGCTGTTGCATGTTTTCTGATGATTGTACAGACAATTTTCTCTTGTCTTCTGATTTCAATCTTGTGCCAGTGATGCTCATCTGCAGGGCCAGATTCTCCCATTATGCTTGGCTTCGTTCTTCGCTGGCACTGCTAGCTTGTGCCTCCAGTCATCCTGGCTCACCTCCTGATGCATGGAAGCCACCTATGAGGAATTCCACAAATCCTATCTTGGATTGCAAATAAACCCCATCCTTTCTCATTAGCCCGTTGTTCTGCCCCTTCCTGAGTGTGCTCTCCATTCCCAAGCTTTACTTTCTGCTCTCAACTCCTAGTTTGATTCTTCCTATCAGGTCCCATCTCCACTCCTCCAGAACCGCAAGGCCCTCCGGTTCCACGTTCATTTCCTTGTGCCAGAATATGCAGACACAAAGCCCTGCCTTGTGAACTCTCCCAGGACATCTGGGGGAGTGCGCGATTCACATCTGCTGACTCCTTGTGTCGGAATCGCAACACCTGTTATCCAGAGGGAGACAATTCATTTCTCTTGAATTGCTGTATGACTTCCATTTTTATAGGTAAGCTCAGCCTTGCCTCTTGGTCCATCAGATAACCAGAATAAGGATCTGTCTGTGTTGATAGATGCCCTCTGTTTCCCATCGCATGCTCTGTTGTCTTGGCACAGGAGAAGAGATCTCCTTTTTTGGTTTGGAGGCAATGAAGACTCAAGAGAAGAAGGAAAGGAAAAGGATTAAATCCCTTAATGAGACAGGAAAGGAATAACACACAAAGTAAAGATCCTCATGCCCCCTACCCTGATTGTCAGGAACCCCAAGAATGACAAGAGGCAAACCCTTTGGATCTGGCTGGTAGAGATGGGTATGAACCGAATGACTAACTGTGGAAAAAAAAACCATGAACTGAGGTGGTTCAGTGTCCAGAACTGGACACAGTACTTAAGTGTCAGTAACCCCAAGAATTACAACAGTCAAAACCTTTTGGATCTGGCTGGTAGAGATGGGCATGAACCGAATGACGAACTGGGGGGAAAAAACATGAACTGAGGTGGTTCAGTGTCCAGAACTGGACACAGTACTTAAGATGTGGCCTGTTTGTTTGTTTAGTAGTTTAGTCGTGTCCGACTCTTCGTGACCCCATGGACCAGAGCACGCCAGGCCCTCCTGTCTTCCACTGCCTCCCAGAGTTTGGTCAAATTCATGTTGGTCCCTTCAATGGCACTGTCCAACCATCTCGTCCTCTGTCATCCCCTTCTCCTCTTGCCCTCACACTTTCCCAACATCAGGGTCTTTTCCAGGGAGTCTTCTCTTCTCATGAGATGGCCAAAGTATGGGAGCCTCAGCTTCAGGATCTGTCCTTCCAGTGAGCATTCAGGGTTGATTTCCTTCCGAATGGATAGGTTTGTTCTCCCTGCAGTCCAGGGGACTCTCAAGAGTCTCCTCCAGCACCATAATTCAAAAGCATCAATTCTTTGGCGGTCAGCCTTCTTTATGGTCCAGCTCTCACTTCCATACATCACGACAGGAAAAACCATAGCTTTGACTATGCGGACCTTTGTTGGCAAGGTGAGGTATCTGCTAGTTAACTAGTGTCAAATAGAGGAGAAGTAGTAGCTCACAGGATTTGGAGACTATAATTCTACTACTGAATCCTAAAAAAGCATTGGCCTTTTTTGTAGCCACATCACTAGTGCTAGCTCATATTCAGCTAGTGATCCAAGATGATTCCAAGATCCTTCTCGCTCGTATTATTGCTGAGCCAGGTATCCCCCATCTTGTAACTGTGCAATGAGTTTCTTTTCTGAGGTGCAGGATTTTGCACTTATCCCTCTTTAATTTCATTTTCTTGTTTTCAACCCAGTGCTCCAGCCAACCAGACCATTTTGAACTGTGTTTCTGTCTCCCAGGGCATTAGCAATTCTGCCCAGTTTTGTGTCATCTGCAAATCTGATTAGCATCCCCTGATCCAGGTCATATAGAAGTATGTTGAAGATCACAGGACCCAGGATTGAACTTGAAGAGTTGAGGAAAACAGAAGTGTGTTGAAATTATTCACATGAAATGATCTGCTTGGTTTGAACGTGGTTTCTTTCCCCTGTTTTGATCCAATGGCAGTGTGCTAAGCAATACGGGAAGATTTTCACTATATGGGTGATGCACCATCCAGTCGTCATCCTGTCTGGATTCCAAGCGGTGAGAGATGCCCTCATCAACCATTCCGAAGAATTAGCGGACCGCGCATTAACCCGATTCCTCATCGATGCACTTAATAGAAAAGGTAAGTTATCAAGAAGTTGATGAGTTGTTTCCTGGTAAGAAAGAAAGAATACAGTGGTGCCTTGCTTAACGGTGATAATCCATTCCAGGAAAATCGCTGTTAATCAAAAACATTGTAAATCGAAAATAAAAAGCCAATTGAAACGCATTGAAAACCTTTCAATGCGTTCCAATGGGCTTAAAACTCACCGTCCAGCAAAGATTCTCCATACAGCAGCCATTTTCGCTACCTGTATAACGAGGAATCCGTCCCTAAACACAGCGGGGAGCCATTTTAATTACCCGGCAGCCATTTTGAAACCGCTGATCAGCTGTTAGAAAAACATCGTTTTGTGAAGAATCGGTTCCCGAAGGAGGGAACCGATCATCGCAAAGCGAAAATCTCCCATTTACACTATCGTTTTGCGATCGCAATTGCGATCACAGAAAGATCATCATAAAGCAGATCCGTCATAATGCGGGGCAATCGTAAAGCGAGGCACCAGTGTATAGGAATTCTGTGGATAGATCAGTGATCTGGAGACTTCTCCTGCAGAAGGAAAGGAGCCATTGCACTGCAGAGGTAGCCACAAGATTGGTAACTTTGGTTCCTACACAAACCCAGAACAATAAAAGAGTAATGGGAATCAGTTTTAGTCTGATAAAGGTCTTTATGGAAGGCATGTGCCCTGAGGAAGTACTCAGCAGGAAAAGAGAAAGGGCAAATACGAGATGGACGGACTCCCTAACGGACCCTGAGGAGGTACTCAGCAGGAAAAGAGGAAGGCCAAATACGAGATGGACGGACTCCCTAACGGAAGCCACAAGCTTGAGCCTACAAGAGCTGAGCAGGGCAGTTGAGGACAAGACATTCTGGAGTTGGCTCATTCATAGGGTTGGCATAAGTCGGGGATGACTTGATGGCCCATAAGTACAACAACGAAAGAATTCTGGGAATTTGGAAAAAGCTTGGAAAATCAACATTTCAGAGCTGTGAATTCAGCACCTGAAATCCCGTCCTACCCATCCAACATGTCTAGACGGGAGCTGGTTTGGCTTCCATCTTAATTCCCAGCCCTGAAGCCACACAGGGTGTAGCTAGCTGGAGTCATAACAAGTCTCAGCAAAGTTTCCTTGTTGTTGTTTTTTCCCCTCCAGAGACAGATGGGGATGTGCTAGCAGGAACAAGTCAACTGCTCCTCAGCTGTTGTAGTGGAGAAGAAGTGTTAATTGTCTGCTACCCTAAACACAATTGTCCTTGTTTAATTTTGGAAGCTTATTGGAGTCAGAGCGGCTTAGTACATCAATGGAAGGCCACCGGATGGTCCGAGGGATGGACAGTCAGGGCTAGGGGAGGAAAAGAATCCTGTCTAAAACCCTGAGGAGCAGCTGCTCATCACAATAGGCAATGTGAGGTTAGGTATATTGACGCTCTGATTCAGTATGAGAGAGCATCCAAAAGAAATTTGGGAATTCGTGTTTCATACCTTGATTGTTAGCCTGTGGTGTCCCTTTCAGAGTTTTGTTTTGTTACCCATGAAGCAGCCAGGAGAGATTGTTCTTTGGGGGACTTCTAGTCACTGGAGTGGGGTGCTTTATCTCAACTACCTCTGGTTAAACTTCCTCTGTTCTTGATCCCTTGTCCAGAATTTTGGAGCTTGGGTGAACCACACAACTCAGCCTCTCCTTTCTATCCAACTTCAAGGAAGTGATTCCTGGTCTAACCCAGTTCCTGTTGTCAGTGATGGACTGGATGGGGGCAAATATATTGAAAAACCTAATCTAGACAAGCCAGAGGTGCTCCTGGCAGATGAGGAAATACAGATTCACTTGTGCTGGATGGAATTCATGGACTCTCCCCCCCATCCATCTTAGATTCTTGTCTTGTTTTCCCTTGAGTTTTGAGAGATTCCCCCCCACACAATTTCTTTGGATTTGCATTTACCTAGTGTGCCTCTTTCCTCCTTGGGATTATTTTGTCGATCCTTTCCCCTCACCCAATTTATTTGAGGATTTTCCAACCCTCTTTTTTCCTCCCTCCTATCCCCGGTAGTGTTGGGAATGGTTTATTTGATTATTTTTGCTGCTATCTAGACCCGGCTTGCTGGATCGAAGTGAAGAGAAGAGAAGGCTTCGAGGGAGTTGATGGGGGTGGGAAAAATCTCCCCATATTCTAGTAGCTTTGTATGGGTAGGTGAGTGAGGTGGTGAAATCCTGATTTGTTGTTGATTCCTGATGTCCTCAGGTCTTGCATTTGCAAACGGTCTCTCCTGGAAGCAACACCGACGGTTTGGTATGGCTACTATGAGGAATCTGGGGATGGGAAAGAAAGGCATGGAGCACCAAATACAAGAGGAAGCTCGCCGACTAGTGGAGCTCTTTGCACAGACCAAGGGTAAGTAACTAGGTAGGTTGGACTTAAGGAAGAGAAGACTGAGGGAGACATGATAGCCATCTCCCAAGATCTGAAGGGCTGCCCCAGGGAAGAGGGCATCGATTGATCCTCCATTGTGCCCAAGGGTAGGACAAGAATCCATAGGTGGACACCTGTCAGAGGGAGATCCAACCGGGAAATAAGGAGGAATTTCCTGATGGGTGAGAACCATGAAGCAGTGGAACAGCTTGCCTCCCGAGGTGGTGGGCGCCCCATTGCTGGAGGTTTTCAAGAAAAGATGGGACAGCCACCTGTCCGGGATGGTGTGAGGTCTGGGATGGTCGGAGATCTCCTGCCTTGGGCAGGGGGTTGGACTAGAAGACCTCCAAGGTCCCTTCAAACCCTACAACGATTCTATGATTCTATGACAGTGGGAGTTTATTTTTTTGCATGAATCCCCTTCTGTTGAAATCTATACCTCTTATCCTCATCTCCAATGGAATAGAAACTCATGCATTTCTCGTCGTCGTTTGGTCATTTAGTCATGTCCAACTCTTCGTGACCCCACGGACCAGAGCACGCCAGGCCCTCCTATCTTCCACTGCCTCCCGGAGTTGGGTCAGATTCATGTTGGTTGCAGTGGGAGATTATTATTTTTTTTTGCATGAATCCCCTTCTGCTGAAATCTGTACCTCTTATCCTCATCCCCATTGGAATAGAAACTCATGATTTCTCGTCGTCAAGTACTGGAGCCTCAGCTTCATGATCTGTCCTTCCAGTGAGCACTCAGGGTTGATTTCCTTCAGAATGGATAGGTTTGTTCTCCTTGCAGTCCAGGGGACTCTCAAGAGCCTCCTCCAGCACCACAATTCAAAGGCATCAATTCTTCGGCGGTCAGCTTTCTTTATGGTCCACATGCATTTCTACTTTCTTCTATATTCTAATCTATGATCACCAGTTCCAAACACCTCCTGAGGTGCCTCATGAACCTGAATCCTTGGCATTAACTGGTAAGACCAAAGAGCATTAACACTTCCTGGACATTATTTCATTTCCAGGGCTGCAATTTGAACCTCCCCTCTTGATCACTAATGCAGTGGCAAGTGTGATCAGCGTGGCGTCTTTTGGATACCGACTTCCTCCAGAAGACAAAATGTTCCAGGAACTGATAGCAGCCAGCGATTACTTTGAAAAATTTGCTGTCTCCTTGTTTCATGCAGTGAGTTGTCTTCTTCTTCTTCCTTATCCCATTGGACAGAGGACGAAACGGCAATGAGCAGTCATAGAATCATCCACCCTAGCATGCTATCCTGAGCACAATGATTTCATCTCGTTTTGGAAGCTAAGAGGAATCCTATTAGTCAAGGGTGTTCCAAACTTGTTAAGGTGGCTGTGCTTGAATCGTGCCTTCTGTAAATGGAGACGACCAGAGCAGAGCTACCTTAACAGATAGAAACAAGGCTGATTGAAAACTTCCTCCTTTCTCTCTCCCAATTCCTTTCTCTCTTTATTTCCTCTTTGGTCATCTTGGTGTCCTAGTGCTAGGCTTCCAAGTCTTTAAAAGAAAAAGAAAAGAGAAAGAAATGGGCTGGGAAGGGAAGAAGAAAACAAGCACACTTAATCACCAGGTTTGGGGAGGAGAAGATTTAAATAGCAGTCAGTTCCCTACTGCCTGGCCTCTTTCACTGCTGCTGTAGCTTGGCTGGAGAGGCTTCAAAGAGTACAGTTACAAAAGCCTTTACATTGATTCAAGTGGCCAACACATCTGAACCAATGCAACTGCATTTCATTTCAAAGAAGTAGATGCTCCAGTGGCGGAGGGGAAAACTTTAGGCTGGTTCACCTGTTTACAGCATGGAGTCAATAGAAAACAATGTGAATCTGACCATTCCTGTCCCAGAGCATCTCCTACTGGAATTGTCGATACAGTCGTTCTCTAACACACATCTACAGTATCCTCTAGCTTTTGAATAATGAAGTCCAGGTCTGGCTTCTCTACAAAAGGCTACACCTGGTGAAACTGTTTGAAGTGGGTGAAATGCATTCCTGTCTTTTCTTTTTGCTTGGCATCCAGGAAGAATTTTGAAAATCAAAACACCCACCACTTCTTTAGTCGGAGCCCCAAAATAATTCAGACCACCAGGTTGGCTAATTCAAAGACATCAGCTGACAGAATGCGTTATCACAACCCTGACGGGATTTTCTTTTGTCCTACCCGTAGATCTATAACTTGTTCCCATGGCTCATGAAACACCTGCCAGGGCCGCACAAGAAGGCGTTTTCATGCATGAACAAGGGAGTGCTCTATGTCGTTGAAGAAATACAGAAGCACAAAGAGAACCAGAACTTACACGAACCACAAGATTTCATTGATTTCTATTTAATTCAGATCGAGAAAGTAAGTGTGCTGCGGAGGGATGTGACTCTGTGCGGGAGGATCACAATTCCTGCATAGAACTTCGCCTTTCCTGTGCAGGATTCACCCAGAAGGAGGGAAATATGTAAAATGCATAGGGTTCACTTTGCTGTGCAAAGTGTGATGCTACATTTGCACTTCGCATCCGGCAAGTGCAAATTTGGCATCAGGCTGAGGACGGCCAGCCTTCATGGTATACCCAGCTTCTATCAATTTCTATCCCAGAAGCCCAGGGGCAGTAAAGAGTACTGCTTCTCTCTTCCTGTATTTGTACTATCTTGCTCTTTCCTGAAACCATTAGGGTTGTTAGAATAGACGGATTGTAATTATTATGGACTGTCAAGTTGGAACAGACATATAGCAACCCTAACAGAGCTTTCAAGGTAAATAGATATCTGAGGAGTGTTTTTACCAGTTCTTTTCCCCCAGTCAGTTTCCATGGCTGAGATTCAAACCCCTGAATCTTACCCACTGGGTATCTCAGCACCCTTTTAGCACTTATTTGTAGACTGATTCCCAGAAACTGCATTTAATGCAACTGCATTCGGAGTCAAAGGGGAAATAAGGAACAACTGGATTAGTGCCTGTGGCTGTTTTAAGCTGTTGTCCAGACTCAAGTAGGTCTAAGTCCCATTTAATTGACCATCATCCTCACCCAGAACCATCTGACCAACGGGACTGAAATTTAGAGGAGACAAACATTTGCTAATAGAAGGGCACACCTCTGCTCCGGCCACCTCTAGCTCCTGCCCTCTTCAGATGGAAATACAGAACAGGTAGCCTCAATATGGGACCAAGATGGTAGTCGTACACTCAGAATTAAGCTTTGCCTCCCTCTTTTTCCATCCCCATATGCCCTGACCTCATGTGACCTGAGATTAACCGACAGGGTAACAAAGCTTCAGGCTACAAAATGGTTCGTTATAGCCCTTGTCGTCCCGTATTGATTCAGGAAGAAATTGTCTTAGAAGATCATTCTTTTGAGGTCTTTTTGTGCAGCGTTTTTTTGAGAGTGACGGGCACATCATTTCACACGTCTCCCTTTGGTGCCCGTTTTCTAGTTTCCGTGGTTCTCCTGCTCCCCTCCCAGAAAGCTGATTAGACGTAGAAGTTTGGTTTTCAACTTGGATTGGTTGTAAGAAAGCCTTTCATTTCTTGTGCTTCCATCCACAGAGTAAAGGTGACGCTACCTCTACCTTCAGTGATGAGAACTTGGCTCAATGTATTCTTGACCTCCTTGTCGCAGGGACAGAGACCACGTCAAGCACTCTGCAGTGGGCGCTACTCCTCATGGTAGCTTATCCAGATATCCAAGGTGAGAGATAACTGTGCAGCAGGAGCACAATCTCCTATTGTGTCCCACAGGGATGACAACCTGTAGGCATCCTTCAGTCTCAAGAGACTATGGTAACGTGCTCTGAATGGAGGACTTGGAACAGCGTCTAGTGTGGCTGAGAAGGCCAATTCGAGAGTGACCATCCCTTCCACACTGAAGACAAATACAATCTGTCCCTTGTCTGGCTCCTTGATTGGGCTGGTTTTGGGACTGCCTCTTTGCCTCGGCCTGCTGGACAAGGGTCTCTTCAAATTGGGAGAGGCCGTGATGCAGTGCCTGCCTCCAGGCTGAACGCTCAGAGGTCAAGGTTTCCCATCTGTGGAGGTCCATTCCTAAGGCCTTCAGATCCCGCTTGCAGATATCCTTGGATCGCAGCCGGGGTCTCTCAAGACTGAAGGATACCTACACAACCTGATCACAACCTCTATGATTATATTTTAAAAACCTATAAATATTTAAAAATGCCTGCAGGCCTCAGGATTTAATTTCAAACCCTAACTCAAGTTTCAAAAGTGGGAAAGAAATTCAAGGCAATCACTTTACAGAATAGATATACATTTTCCCCTCTTTTGTTTAGAGAAAGTCTACAGGGAGATAGAAGACGTTTTTGGTCTTTCTCACTCCATCTGCTACCACGATCGGAAGAAGCTGCCGTACACCAATGCGGTGATTCATGAGGTCCAGCGTGCGAAGTACATTTTACCCGTAGGGATTCCCAGGCGGAGCACGAAGGCTATGAACCTGTTTGGTTTTCACATCCCAAAGGTACAGAAGAGGGGCGCCGTTGCAGGGGGCATTGCGGCGGCTTTATGTGGCGGGGAGGGGGTCCGCCTATTGACGGGGATGGTGCAATGCAGTCACGCAGCCCCCTTGTCCCCTTCCCTCCCACTCCTTCCTTCCTTCCCTCTCTCCCCCTCTACTGT